TGCTCCACCAGGTCGCGGCCGTGGCTGCCCTCGGGCCAGTGCGGCACCGGGTAGCGCCCCGTCACCACGAACAGGGTCGTCAGCAGAAAGGCCACCGTGGGCGCCTGTGAGGACAGCGGCGGTTGTAAACAGGGTTCAGGTGTGCCGACTAGAATATTTTAGTCAATATTTCAAAAACATTCATTACTTTACTTATTTAGTATGCTTCAAAAAAAAAGATAAACAAAAGAATCTTAACAATTTTGCAGGATTTTTCCATTTTCCCCTGCTTGTTAAAATTCAATGAAAGTTGTTGTTTTGGTTTTTTCAAATATTTTGTTGAGAATTTACATTCCTAGTCAGTTTGATCTCCACCTGCCACCACACCATCCGGACGAGGTGCGGCATGACGCTGTCCAGCCGCCGCATCCGCCGCAGGCCCGCGCTCTCGTAGAGGGCCCCGAGCCCGCCGGGCGCGAGGGCGTCCGTCTCGATGGTCCGCGCCACCTCCAGGAGCGGCACCAGGCTGCGGCGCATGGCCTCGTCACACACGCCGCGGGTCTGATGGAAGCAGGATCTCAACATATGGCAATAAAGTATTCCGGCAAAGCTGGAAAGAAGAAGAATGCGCGGAAAAACAGAACGGAAATCACTCACTATGCCTTCACATGGTGACCCGCTTTCTTGTTCCCCGCATTCTTGCTGCGTTTCAGCTTTACCGTAATGCTTCATTGGCAATGGCTCATACAGGATGGTCGGTCAGCCCTGTTCGCACCCGCACGCACGCCTAAATCCGGTACAGTAACCAGAAGGACGGGGCAGGCGGATCCCCTTGTGTATAACACACTTTACTGTAAAAATCTTGATGTATATTTGCCGGTTTTTTTTTTAAAGAGAGAGAAACATGATACGGCGGAACAAATAATACTCCAGTCTCAAAAGCTTGAAGTAGTTGCACGTTGTGCTTAAAAGCAACGAAAAAATGACAAAAAACAACAAAAAAAAAAGTCTCAGAACTATCCCGCATGTAAATAAGTATCTCCAAATGACACTTTTGGGAATACTTTTGTGAAGAGTATACTTAAAGTATAGCAGATTGGGACTGCAACACTTTGTTGGCACTTTCGGCATACTTTTTTCATATTTTAGGTATACTTTTTTTACACGTTTAAGACACTTTAGCCTGTCACTTTTTTAGCTTCTTTTTCCATGCGGGAGGTGTTTAAAAAACAAAACAAATAAGAAGAAAGGCGCGCCATGCTTTCGTCTGACACGCAGACCGTCCGGTCGCTGACCTGGGCAAACGATCCCACTAGTGACCACATCAGGACTCGGTCACAGAAAAGAAACTTAGTTGTGCGGCACGCCCGCGCATGCATAAGGTAGTTTGCCGGGGGAGCTGACCGCGCCCGGACGGTGGGGGGCTGGACAGGACCAGGTGCCACGGCACGCACGTATATTTCCCGCCCGTGTCAGAAGCTCACGACCCGGGAGTGGAGGCAACCCGCACAACCCCGTGTACCAACAGGTCTTTTAAGGCCCATGGGTTTCAGGACCATGGCCGTGGGAAGGCTGCTTTATGGGGGCATTATTATGATGTAGTTCCAAAAGTATCAGATCAGGATGGTCAGTGGAGTCCATCTATAGGGAGCCCGTTTGTACGCCGGGCTTCAAATATCCCGGGGCTCCTTGACTTCAGTGACCATCCTGATACTTTTGAAGCTCCAGAATTCTTGTACTCTCTTCTAAAGTCGGTTCAGCCACCGCGCAGCCACACTCACCCAGAGGCCGTACATGATGCAGAAGAAGCCGAGGAAGAAAAAGAGCGCGACGGCAGCGCGGTCCATGGAGCCGCGGTCCAGGTTGACGCCGAAGGCGACCAGCAGCCCGAGCTGGCACACGGCGTTGAAGAGCAGCCCCACCCTGGCCAGCGCGCGCACCCAGGCGGGCCCGCCCACCTGCGTCTGCAGCAGGTCCTCCAGCGCCGCGGACACTGCACAACAGAGCGTGACAGCGCGCCTGCGATCCGCCGGGTAGGCCAGCCCGCGCTACACTGGAGCGCGCAACTGGCCTGGTGGCCTACCCACCAGGCGGCGTGGGCGCCTGCCTCTCCCTGGGCCTGAAGCGCGCCCGCTACCGCACCCACCCTTAACCTCATCACCACCCACGTTCTTCCCCACAACACCAAAAATCACTGTAAGGCACATTCAGATACCGGATAACCCGCTATAATAGTGTCATCTGAATGTCCGTACCGAGTGTTTCATAAAAGAGGCAGGTGCGGGCGGGTTTGACTACCCGCTCTCTGCCCCTTGGGTAGGCAAACCCATCCGCACCTGTGTCTTTTATGAAACATCCCGTAAATAATAATTAGAACCGAAGTTGAAACCATTAAACAACTCTACGAGACATGACGCAGATCAGGCCAAATCAATCCAGTCTGCTTGCGGGCTGTGCTACCCGGCGACTTTGCAGGTCCACGAAGGGTTTACGGGGTGACCTGACATGACGCCTAGCTGCGGGACGCCTCTTGTAGCTAAGGTAATACGCGAGTCACTACCCCTACCGCATTGGACGCAACCCTCCCAGCAAAACCTAAATTCAAAGAAACGTACCAACCAGGGCCCCAGGCGGGCGGCGGGCGGCCAACCCTGGGGAGTCACTCACCTGGCATGTTTGCCCGTGCTGCCGAGTGAGTAGGCGCCGATGTGCCCGCACCCGTGCCAAAGTTCGACTGCCTGCCCGTGCCGTGGTCCCTCGGTCATCAGTCCCCTCCAGCCGTCCCGGTGACACAGCGATTCGGGAGGAAAAAGTTCATTCGAGTTATTACCAAAGTTCTGGGAGGCGAACGCCCTTGGAGAATACATATGAGGTGATACTTTCATGAGTGCGGTTGACTAAAAGGAGGTTCTCATTTCAAAGATAAAAATGATGATGAAAATGAAAAAAATTATGATGATGATAATGCAAATAAGTAATGATGCGATGATTAGGAGCATAGTACGTCAGACCACTAGTTTTACCCGTTAGACCTCGTAATACGCGTGAAACAGACTGCTCAAAACGAATTTCTAATGGGTAAGCTCTATTAACACCCCCTTCCCCGGCCCCGGTCTTTCAATCCCCCTGCGAGTTGGCCCCGCAGGCGAGAGGGGACTCACCCCATTATTGCTCCCCACTTACATACCCTGCTGCTCACAGAAATGACTGGCGAAACTATGTCACATCGATATCATACCGACGCTAATATCATCGTTTTGAAGTTGGCTTAAAATCGTTTCAACATCTTCTCACCGAGTTTGAAACACTGGCCAGAAACCAATTAATTAGTTGTTCCCACAAAAGTGTATGAATGTGACAACGAAGACTTATTGTTATACCTAGCGGAGCGTATTCCGAGAAGGAGACGTTCACAATGTTATACGTATTCCTCGGACTTGTTAACGTGAAACTGCAACGTGAAACATGAAAACTGCAACAATTTCATGCTCCCCCATGTTAAACGAGGCGTTTAATGTAGGTCTACGCAGTAGGTTCAACGACGGGTCGATAAGTTACAAGAGCAGAAGATAGGGCCTAAAACGTTCGATAAGAAAAGGGAAGGAGGGAAGGAATCAGGAATTAATCGTATACCTTGATGCGTAAACGATAAATTAAATTGACTTTCAGTCGGTTTGTTATGGACCGATCATGGATCACTCCTCCCCAGTCGACAAGCCTAAGTCCCAAACACATTCCGGGCACGACATAGTTGGGACGCGGGATGTCCCAGCTAGGAGGTTCCCCAGTACTACCGAATGCAACTAATCTGGCCCTGAGCAAGCGATGGGGACATCCCACCAGGACGTCCCATCGAGACACTCGTGGGAGCTTCTGATAACAATCTTTCAAGAATGTTCCCAGCGACATGCTAAGTAGCACCCTCAGTGGGACATCCCTTCGGAGCTCCACCGTTGGTGCGTCCTGAGGAGTAACTTCTCATTACATCCAATCAGAAGTACCTGCCAATTAGAGAACGCCGTGGCATGTACTTTCGGGACACTCCAGTAGTACGTGTGAGGAATTCGCATAGGATCATCCCCAATGCCTCCCGAAAGCAAATAGGAGCAGCTTTGTTGGATCCAATTTCGGACAATTTCTCTTAAAACAGTAGTGTTTAGACAGGCGACAATTGTAAAATGATTTTCTAAAAAAGAGTTTCGGTAGTAATTTTTATTTTCAAGGGGCCTGGCTTACACGACTGCTAGGGACTCTAGCCCAGAAGCCCAAAGGCTCCGGTGAGGCCGCTGGCGAAGCCGCCGGTGAGAGTGTTGGCCACCTTGCCGACGGCGTTGGCGGCGGCGCCCGTGGCGGCAGAGGCGCCCTTCTGGGCGGTGCCAATGGCGTTGGCCTTGGCGCCGATGGCGCCTCCAGCGGCCCCGCCGAAAGCGTTGACGCCTCCTTCAGCAGCGCCGGAGACGCCGGCGCCCAGCTTGCTGCCAGCATCCAGACCGCTGTTCACGAGGCCCTGCGGGACCGTGGAAGGGGTGACAGGTCAGCGCGCTCATTCAGCGGAAACAAATTCGGCTCTTCTCATCACCGGTTTCCTTATACCTGAGCTCCAGTGAAGAGGCCGGTAAGGGCGCTTGTGCCGAGTTCCAGGGCGCCCTGGGCAGCGTTGAGGCCGAGGTTGGCGCCATCGCGGATGCCGCCGGCAGAGGGCAGGTGGTTGGCGAGGTTACGGGTCTGGGTGATGGCCTCAGTGCCCACATTACCAGCGATCTTGACGCCGCCGCGGAGGGCGTTGGACTTGGCAGCTTCAGCGTTCTGCAAGAGGATGAGCACAGAACGTTCACGGGCCGCGTCTACCACGCCCCTCTTTCAGTCCGGTCCCGCACACTACTCTACCTTAGCGGCGTCCAGACCCAGGTTGACGCCGTCGCTGCCGGCCTGGATGCCCGCGTTGGTGAGGCCTTGAGCGGCGTCGACTTTGGTCTTGGCGGCCCCAAGGAAGCCTTGAGACACGCCCAGGATGGAAGGCGCGGGTGCTGCGCTGGCGGCCTGCGACTCAAGAACGTCAAGCGGGTGCTTTCCGGCGCCCAACACCGGCCGAAGGCGACGCTTCTGCTCACCTGGATGGCGACGAAGGCGAGGACGACAAGGATGAACTTGGCCATGGTGAGACAATGTGCTCAGGGGACTGAACTGTGCCGAAGAGATCAAAGTGGCCGTTTATATAGCGGAAGACAAGTATTCTGTGTCGTCAGCAGCTCAGGGGTCGGCCCGTAAACCAGATAGGATATTTTGGCCGTGGCTTCCGTGGCTTTGGTATGGTCCGGAAGGACATGATATTCCTCTTATTCTTTTTCGTAAATAGCTCAGAGGACAAGGTTTCAATTGAAATTTAAGTTAGAAACGCCCTTTTTAAATAAAGGTAGCACTCGTTGCTTTTAGGCGCCCCCCGGGAAATAAATTGGAAGACAAACATTTATCTTTAGTACCGACTGCTAATGGGATGTACTTGTCGAACATTTGAGTTCTCGCCGTTGGGCAAGCAATTACTGAAGCGAGATGTGCCAATTATGCATAGCAATAAGCTAAATGGGCCGATGGACCTTATCGCCCTCATTGGTGACCACGAGACATTTATCTTTTAAGTCATAACTTGTTTGACGTAGAGTATACAACATTTAAAATACAATACT